GAGATGAATACAAGATTTAACAAAGATGCAGTGCACAGTATAATGGCAAAGCTGCTGTGTATTTTGCAGAATATACTCCCCAAATACCAGCAAGTCTCCACAGAGCGTATCATGCTGGCAGGCATTACAACCAATCCTACAAGCAGGTCAAGTACAGCCAGAGAGAGAGTGAGGTAGTTAGTTGGGGTGTGTAGCTGCTTGAAATGAGTTATGGATATGATCACCAGAAGATTTCCAAATAATGTGAGAAGTACCATGACACTAAGGACAAAATATATAATAACACGCATGGCCAGTGGATAGATGAACTTCTGACAGGAGTTAGGATGATGTTCATAACAAAAAGAAATGTTTCTTATGCTCAAATTTTGACTTATGCTCATGTCCATTATGCTTATTTTCCTTTATCTGTAAAGAAATATGCCTTTAACAAGTACTTAAGAAGTGCTTTCTAAATTAATTATTCATGGCAGTAAATAATTTAACATTCCTGAAAAGGATTCACTTCAAATTGCATGAAAGAATAAAACTATCATTTCAGAGGTATTTCTCAATAGTTTGAGATACATTAAAAATAGTAAAAAGCTTATCATGCATGAATAGTATATGAATGCTAGGTAACCCTGAAATGATTAAGCATAGATTAAAAACAAGCACAATATTACAGTAGTTTATCTTTTTTTTCCATCTATGTTTAATGACTTCCGTAGCCAGCCTTACCAATGCTTGTACAGGGGGGGGGTAAAGCCAGCTCTGACAAAAGAGCAACTTTCATTTATAAGCTGATAGACCTGCATCAGGAACGCCCTTCTGCTAAATCACTCCTATTTCCTGATCCCTTGATAGTCTATGTGGTAGTTACCAAATACAAATCAAACTAAGTTGATACATACAGAATATAAGCTGTTAAACTGATATTATTACATAAAAACTTTCCAACTCTCATTACTGCACTCTGGAAATATAACTAAGCCAAGAAAATAGGAAATAGGAAAGGAATTGTACATAAATTTAACATGTATGCGCATTACAACGTTATTACACTAGAAACAGCAAGTCGACTTTCAGTGACAACTGCAACATTCAGTAACACCAGCCAAAATAGTTAATAGTTAACCAATTTTGATCACTCACTGTGCTTTTTTTTAACAATGTTAAATAAAACAATTGTGGCCCCCTGGTGGCTCAGGGGCCCTAAGCGACTGTTATTCCAGAAACAGCCCTGGGTAGACCTATCAACTGAACCGGAATAAAGCTGTCTACATGTACTGTACATTCTCTAAAAGAAAAGGTACTAAACTGGCCCTGGTGTGGGTGTGTCTTCAGTATGTCTAGCAAGGCAACATAATTTGCCAAATGTTTTTCAGTTGTATATTTCAGTTAAATTTACTTTATACACTTTATCTTCACACAAACAGATTACAACCTGTTAAATTGATATTATTACATAACAATTTTCATTCAAATGAAATGAGCAATATAACATTACACTAGAAACAGAAAGTAGACACTGCCTGATCACATCTATTCAAAGTATTTCAGTGACAACTGCAATATTCAGGATAACTTTCCACAAGATTTTGGAGTATGTCTGTGGGAATTCTGCCTGCTCATTCAAAAGAGCATTTCACTGATGCTATCATGCTAGCAACATTTCAGTTCATCCCAAAGGCCACTGGAGTCCCTCCACACCAAACTCATCAAACCATGTCTTCATGCACAGGAGTACAGTCACAGTGGAACAGGAAAAGGCCTTCCCTAAACAGTCACCACAAAACATATTGAACTTGAATTAGGAGGGGTGATCACACACTTTTGATTGTTTTAAAATAAACCTTCTGGGCAAGCTTTCCAGGCAGACCCAGGGCTACTTCTGAAAACTTCTGAACGGAGGCTCCTACCTCCCGCCACATTCTTGTCATTGTCATCATTAATAGCTAGCCAGTTTTGATCACTCACTTTGCTTTTTTAAAACAACGTTAAATAAAACTTTGAAAAGTACATAGTCAGGGCTCCCTGGTGGCTTAGGGGCCCTAAATGACTGTTATTCCACTTACAGCAAGAAACTCTCCGGGTGAACCTACCAATTAACCTGACATTAAGCTGTTTGCATGTACTGTACATTCTCAGAAAGAAAGGTACTAAACGGTCACTGGCATGGATACATGTATGTTTAGCTTGAAAATGTAACTTAACAATATTCTGTTTTAGTGGTATATTTAAGTTGCATTTACCTTACACACATATTTATACTTCATATAACAGCAAGCTTTTTATTTTAGTTTTCTATTTTTGTTTTGTGTTTAACACAAATTTGTCCTTTTCCCCTTAAAATCGCCGTTGAAACTTTAAGGTTACATTTCCAATGTTTCTACAAAAAAAAAAACATATTTGTACACACTTTTCTATTATATACAGTGTAATATTTAAAACTCATAAAATTTGTTTGCCATGTTTTATTTAAACTTGATTAAATGCAAATAAACTGTACACAATTAATATATAATCATTTAACTTACTTGAATACAACACAGAAATTAAAATTCTGACAGGATTATTGATAATTGATCTCAGTATTTGCAAATGATCTGATTACGCCACTACATTTTCTTTTATCTTTTGACACACAAGAATTGTCAGCACAAGGATGGTCAGCATATGCCCAGATTAACGGCAGCAACATAGCTGTCATTCTGTGGACTGGGACAAACAGTTTAAGCAGCATCACTGCTACAGGGTGAAGAGCCAGGCCAAACACACATACGCACACACACAACACTATAGAAAGTTATCCTTAAGCAAAGCAAATCTTCACTTCTGGACTTCTCTGCAGCTCAGTCCACAGGTTTCTAGTGGTGTTTAGCTCAGGGGACTGGGATGACAACTGCAAAAGTATAATTCTGTGATTAGTAAACAATTTGTGTATGAACTTGAGATATTCATTGAGGTTGCTGTTCTGCTCGAAGAGTCACGTGAATTAAAAAAATCCATGCAAAATCATAGACCCACTACCAACAGGGGCAATTTAATGCACAGGCTTACCAGGGCTGAAAACTAGGGGCCCCGACTAATTCAGGGTTTCTGACTGGCCATTCTTTTTTTTCTTCTCTTCTCTTTTTTCTTCAATTCTTCTTTTTTCAATGAGGTTCATAGATTCCCCTACACAGCTTGATATCAGACCTACTTAATCAAATGTATTAAGCTGGCATTTTAAGATGAAATTTGATTTGTTTTCTGTGTTTAATGTCACTTTGTTATGGGCAAATTATTATATTCTTCTTAGCCCTGCAAACACTACACAGCTACTACTGCTATCTGCCATCACCACAAGCTCAGTTATCAGTGTGCCAGTGTTTGAATTTGAAGCTCCAGCTGTGGCCACAAGATGTAGGTTAACCGATTACAGGTAAAAGAGGGTTCCACCTCATAGAGTGTGTTGATTTCTGCCATGGTCGGTTGTCTCCAAATTTGGCAACTGAAACAATTTGTTTTACAATCAGTATGTTTAGGTTTTAATCATGTTGCCTTCTTTTTTGGGTCCACGAGTTTGGAAATTGTGTCTGCCAAGTTGGCCTACTCACTTTTTTCAGCCATAGTCAAAAATTGATTTTTGCCTAGCCTACTGGATCAGTGTCCTACAGTTTTACCAAGTAAACTGTACCACAGGCCCCAACAGATTGAGCAGAGCACCTCTAACACATATGAGCTGAAGCTTAAATTAATCTCAAGTTTAGTGTAAATTTCAAACCATGACTGACTATGGACTTTAGAGGTTTGGTTCTGGGTTTAACTTTTGTGAGCCTGAAACTGATGGTCGGTGAAGATGCCTGGATATCGAATAGCTTTGGGGACCTGCCAGCTGGGCAGCCTGGTGCTGTTTGCTGAGGCCCTCCAGCGACACTATGAGCAGGCACCGTAGGCGTGGTTGGTGAAGGTCGAGGACGCAATGCTCTGGCACCTTGGGGAAAAGAACGCATGCACGTGGATAGTGTTTACAGGCACAGGGCACATTCTGTGACCCCTGCTAAGAGAAATGTCCGGGAGGGTGGCTAAATAAAACAGCCTGTAACCATTACAAATATACAGTGCAGGAAATATGTATTAAAGAACATCTTAAAAGCAGTTCAAAGGCATGTAAATGGTGTCATGTTCACAAGTATGAGTTTAGTCGTAAGCTGTGGCGTATCTGTGTGTTGAAACATTAAAGCCCTTTTAAACCACTTTGCTCAGTTGAGGCAGTCTAACTGCAAACTGCTAGAGTCACTTACAGGTCATCTGGTGGAAAATTATCTTCTTATAAAGCTCTCACATGTCCACAGAATATTAAGAATGCATGCTTGATATGATTTTAAAATAGACATATTTGTTCAGTGTATTTGAGACTCAATTTCTTGAAGTGCTGTTATTTCATTTTGAGCGCAGTATTTTTTCTTTCCAGTTTTTTTTTTAAATTACGTTCCTGTATAAAGCTATTCAAGATTTTGTACCTTAAATGAAACGTGCAATATACATTAAAAATTATTAATATATTATTATTATTAACATGCTAAACAGATGTATGCAAATCTTGGCTTCATGTTAAGTGGAAAAGTACTCCCTCTACAGAGAACATGCTTTGCTCATTTTAATGTGAAATAAAAACATAAAATGTGGCCTATAACTTTTTTAACGAGGATGTATTAACTTGTTTACACTTGACAAAATCAACTAATCCAGGGGTGATCAAAACCTCTGCTTGTGACTGTATGTGTATTGGGTTTGTATGACAGAGAAAGTCATTTAATACATTCTTGTTGTAGCTTCAAAAGATGACACCGTAAAGCAGAGTTATCCAGCTCCAGCCCTGTAGTTTTCATGTACATCCTAACTAATAATGAAGAGCTGAAACTAGTGTGATAGAGCACGAAAACACACGTCAAGAATTACAACAATCATACAAAAGCACACAACATTATATGATATTGTATTGCTTTTTCTATGTGGTGCTTTATTTCATTGTGCTACTCTGAACACAACTGTATTCTGGAAGAGTTTTTCCTAAATATTTGACCTAATAAAATAACTTTAAGAGCTTTTCTAAACCACTTGAAGAAGAATGCATATACAATAGGATTGAGAGCTGAATTTGAAAAAGCAATCCAACAGAGCACATCCAACAGGTGTGGTGGACCACTAAAACCAGAAAATGTCACAATTAGATTATAGATAGAAAGAGGTGTCCAAAATAACAAAAACACTCCCATGATAATGACTAATGTTTTAGTTGCTTTTCTCTCTGCTTTACTAATGGCAGGCTGCCCTCTGGATTTATTTATTTGAGAGAGAGTATTGTGGACTAATCGTGATTGCCTCCGTGCAACAAGATATATTTTCAAATATATGCTTAGCATAACAATGATAGGGATGTAAAAACAAATCACAGAAACTGTAAAATTTATCATGGGTCCAATAAACAACACACAGGCTCCCTTACATATAACATCAATGTAAGCTTTCATGTACAGAACACTTAGCTCAGGATGAACAATCCCCTCAGCAACAGAAACACTCCAACAAACAGTGATCATGAACAGAGTTGTAAGGGGAGTCATTTTACTGTGGTACAGCAGGGGGTGACAGACTGCATAATATCGCTCAACTGAGATAAATGCAAGATTTAAAATAGATGCAGTGCACAGCATTATGGAAAAGCTGTTGTGTATTTTACAGAATAAATTCCCAAAATACCAGCACGTCTCCACAGAGCGTATCATGCTAGCAGGCATCACAACCACTCCTAAAAGCAGGTCAGCTACAGCCAGAGAGAGAGTGAGGTAGTTAGTTGGTGTGTGCAGCTGCTTGAAATGCGTTATGGATATGATCACCAGAAGATTTCCAAATAATGTAAGAAGTACAATTGTACCAATGAAAAAATATATACTAACTCGTACAGCTAGTAGATAGATGAACTTCTGACAGGAGTTAGGATGATGTTCATAACAAAGAGAAATGTTTCTTATGCTCCCATTTTGACTTACGGCCATGTCCATTGAGGTTTTTTTTACTTTATCTGTAAAGAAATATACTTTTAGGAAGTATTTCAAAAGTGCTTTCTATAAATTAATTATTCATGGCAGTAAATAATTAAACATTCCTGAAAAGGATTCACGTCAAAGAATAAAATGATCATCCCAGAGGTTTTTCCTAATTGTTTGAGACACATTAAAAATAGCAAAAAGCTTATCATGCACGAATAGCATATGAACGCTATGTAACCCTGCTATGATTAAGAATAGATTAAAAACAAGGCAGTAATTAATTAAACATTGCTGAAATCACCTCACTTCAAATATTCATAAAGTGATAATTCCAGAAGTATTTCCCAATTGTTTTCTGAGATACATTAAAATAGTAAAAAGCTTATCATTCATGAGTAACCCTGCTTTTTAATAAGAATAGATTACAAAAAACACATTCTTACAGTATTTTCTTTTTTCTGTGTTTCAGCATCCAGCCTTACCCATGCTTGCATGGGGGGAGCAAAGCCAGCTCTGATGAAAGAGCAGTTTTCATTTATAGGCTGACAGACCTGCAACAGGAATGCACTTCTGCTAGATCAGTCCTACTTTCAGATCCCTTGATAGTCCATGTCATAGTTACCAGACAAAAATCAAAATATGTTCACCCAGAGAGATTACGAGCTGTTAAACTGACAGTGATACATAAGAATTTTCCAACTCTGATCACTGCACCCTGGAAATATTCCTACATATTAAGCCAATAAAATAGGAAAAAGGAAAGGAAATGTATACATGTATGAGCCATAAGACATCATTACACTAGAAACAAAACAAAGACACTGCCTGATAAAATCTATACTGAATATTTCAGTAACAACTGCAATATTCAGTAATATCAGCCAAAATGCTATTTTATTTATCATGCATGGTTGCTGCACTATATGGCCAAAAATAGGTAGACACCAGACATTACAATTTTATAAGCTTGTTAAACATCCAATTCTGAGAAATATTTTGCAATGTGTCTGAGAAAATTTGTGCCCATTCATTCAAAAGAACATTTTTAAGATCAGGCACTGATGTTGGGTGAGATGCACTGGCTCACTATCACCATTTCAGTTCATCCCAAAGGTGTTCAGTGGTGTTGAGGTCAGGGCTCTGTGCAGGCCACTAGAGTTCCTGCACCAAACTCATCAAACCATGTCTTTTTGGAGCTTGCTTTGTGCACAGATGCATTTTCATGCTGAAACAGGAAAGGGACCACAAACTGCTGCCACAAAACATATAATTGCTTGATTTGACTGGCTAAGCGTGTGGCTAAAACATATAAATATATTACTCAAAAGGGTGATCACATACTTCTGGTGGTTTTAAAGTAAACCTTCTAGCCAAGCTTTCGAGGCAGACTCACAGCCATTTCTGAACACTTCTAAACAGAGGCCCCTGCCTACCACCCTATTCTTGTGTATGCAGAAATAGAAAAAAAATTAATAGTTAACCAGTTTCAATCATTCTATGCACTTTCTATTTAAACAGTGTTAATAAAAATTAACTAAGTTTTTCTCTGCATGAATCAAGGTGAGTGACACAGTCTATGCAGACTGAACGGCAGATGGCAGCAGACAGTGGTACGGAAGAGCAAGTGCAGCAAGAAAGGAGGAGTAAGACAATAGGCTACATAGACATGGGCTGTGTCGCTTGCTGCTTCGCTCTATTATCCTCGGTAGCGTACATTCATTCAGGAATAAAGTGGACAATTTGCAAACAAACATGAAGTGTTTATGGAAGTACAAAAATGCTTGTGTGATGCACTGACTGGTTCATAGATCATGACTTGAGCCAGGATTTTGAAATCAAGGACTTTGGTCAGCCTCTCTGGCTTGACCATGATGCAGGGCTGACTGTCAAAGTTATCACCCATCTGTGCTTTTGTGGAGAAACATGACAGTATATTTGCCTGTAGTTCTGGAAATGAGCAGTAGGTGGGAGCGACGTGCTCTGCACTTTTCCGTTGTTCACAGAGTATCACGCGAGTAAATTGCTTCAGAATTTCTGTGCAGAGAGTAATGCAAGGTGCAGAGCGAGCCACTGTCCCTATTGAAGAGCATTTCTTCATGTCACAGATGAAATGCTAATAGAGCGTGTCAACAAAGCTGCTAATTTGGAAACAGAAAAACAGCAAAAGCTGAAAAGGGCTGTGTTGGTATGACCTCCCAGAATCAGTGAGGTTCAGATTGAGTTGCATTCCAACATGGCACAGTCATATCCTAAAGAAGCAGAAAAGTCAAAACATAAGGCACTAGACATGGTAGATGTAGGAGAAACCCCCACTCAACACAGGAAATGTCAGACATGTCACACTGATGAAGACACAAGTACCAGCAGAATGATCGAGGGTCTCAAAGCTGAGGTGTTGAAAATGAAAAAGGTGATCCTGAAGACAGTTGGGACCAGCACAACAGACAGCAGACACTGTAGTGAATGTGAATCGCAGGAGACCAGCTGGATGCAGAGCCTGTCAGAAGGCACAGATTGGTGAGTCATATAAGCACTGCTACAGGTGTGGTCAAGATGGACACCTCTCCCGTGGCTGCAGGCAGAGAACAGACCAGGGAAACGGGAGGGGGCTGCCAGGTCGGGACCGCCAGTAGCCCCACATCAAGGGTCCCTAAGCAGTCAAACACTTGAGGGAAGCAGTAAAAGCTCAAAACAGCTTACAAGTAGTACCAACTGTGAAGATCTGCCCCCATCTAACTCTTGCAGTAAAAGCCCTTCTTTAACGAACAGTTCTGTAAGTTACCTTCCTCCTCGATGCCAAGAAAAACTCCTAAACCTCATAGGATGGAAATGTCTGGTGCAGTGTCAGCTTGATGGTGTCGCTGTGGAAGCACTGTGGGACACAGGTGCACAGGTCAGCTTAATCAATGAGGAATGGAGAAAAACTCACTTACCCCACCGCACAGTCCGCCCAATAGAAGAGCTGCTAGGGCCAACTCCGTTGATTGGCTTAGCTGCAAATCAGACAGAGATTCCCTTTTTAGGTTGGATAGAAGTAGAATTCAGATTGAACAAAAACCTAAATTCATCCAACCCCCTCTTGGCCCCAATACTCATTTCAAATGACCCAAATGTAGCCAAACAGCCAATCATTGGATTTAATGTAATAGAAGCTGTTATAAGTGGGTGTGTAAAGGGACAGTCAAAGCCAGAAATGATCCAGAGACTTTGTCAAGCTTTTTCAGTGACACTTAAGACAGCAAGATCACTGTTAAGACTAATCAAAACTGCCTTGAATTGTGAAGTGGGAAGAGTCCATACTGGCAAGAAGAGATTCCACCTGGCAGCAGAGCAAGTAACAACTGTGTATGTCAGAGCCAGTACAGGTGAACAGTTCAAAGTCTGCATAGTACAGGGCCAAAGTCTGCTCTTTACCCTGTGTGAGCTGTCTTTCTTGCCAGAGGGTGTAGTTGTGGAGGAAGGCTTAGTTACAGTGACAGCAGAAAACCCAATGTTTGTCACTCTTCCAATCATGCATACAACCAAACATGATATCACCTTGAATCAACAGACAGTCATTGGTCATCTGCAAGTGATAAAAACAGCATATGCAGTCCAATCGGAACAAGTGGCATTGGCTGGAAAGAAAGATGAAAAAAACACATTGTTACAAATCCAACAAAGTAGAGATCATGCACATGAAGACAAGATCCAAAAGCCATGTCAGTGGGATCCTCCGGTTAACTCAGATCGACTCAGATGACTCACAACAACAGACCGTTCGGCAGTTATTACAGGAAGAGTGTCATGCCTTTGCTTATGATGACCAAGATGTCGGATGTATTCGCTCCTTGAAATTGCACGTCACCCTCCATGACACATCTGTAAAGAAAACATACATGTCTGTGCCTAAACTCCTACACCAGGAAGCTAAAGAGTACATCCAGGATTTGCTTAATCGTGGCTGGATCACCCACTCAAGATCACCATACGCCTCCCCAGTTGTCTGTGTCAGAAAAAAAGATGGAAGCCTGAGGTTATGCTGTGATTAGCGAGAATTAAACCGGAAATCAGTCCCTTATCGTCACCCAATCCCCAAGATTCAAGATATGCTTGACTCTCTCAGCGGTAGCTCCTGGTTCTCTGTTTCAGATCAGGGGAAGGCTTATCATCAGGGATTTTTGGATTAGGAAAGCCAACCTCTAACAGCCTTCATAACTCCTTGGGGTCTTTACCATTGGATCCGGATCCCCTTTGGACTTAGTACGGCACCAGCAGAGTTCCAAAGAAATATGGAAATGTGTTTGACAGGCCTCAGTGATGTTATGTGTCAGCCTCACCTTGATGATAATCTCGTCCACAGCCCCAGCTTTGAAGATCATGTCCAAAGTATTAGAACAGTGTTACAGAGATACCAAAAGCATGGAGTGAAGTTGAATCCACATAAATGTGAGATGTTAAAGTACGCTTCCTGGGACGAAGGGTGTCAGGAGATGGATATAAGATGGACCCTGTGGAAATAGCACCAGTACAGGCCCTGAAGGAAAGAATGCCTTCTACGGTGGGAGACTTAAGAAAAATACTTGGCTTCCTCTTCCATCAGCTGGACACAGAGCCACCAAGAGACACTGAATTCTCTCATAGAGAAGTTAACGGAATCACCCATTCTAGGCTACCCAGATCTCACTATGCCATTTATTCTTCATTGTTATGGATCCCAGGAGGGATTAGGAGCGGTATTATATCAAAGACACAATAGGAAGCTGGTCGTAATTGGTTATGGATCAAGAACTCCGACGCTGCCTGAGAAAAATTACCACATGCACTCGGGGAAGTTGGAAGCCACATTTCACAGTGTATACAGATAACAACCCATTAACGTACATCCTCACCACAGCCAAGCTAAATGCCACAGGTCATCACTGGGTTGCCCAACTTGCAGATTTCAACTTCTCTATTAGGTGCCGCCCTGGCAGACACAATGTTGATGCTCACAGTCTCTCCAGAATGCCTCCTGACATGGATGTTTTCATGAAACAGTGTACAGAAGAGATCAGTCAAGAAGCCATCAGTGCATCCGTCCAAGGAGTATCCATGCCCAGGGATCCACTTTCTCTTTGGACCACTACAGTGAGTATGGATGCGTTGAGTTTGGTCAGCGATGCATCTGCTCTGAGTATGCCTTTAATCTCAGCACAAATCAGAGAGAGTCGAGGACAGAGATCCAGACATAGGGCCGGTTATAAGGTTTAAAAAGATCAACCAGCAGTCAACCAGAAGATCACTTAGATTAGAGCATCCTGATGTTAGGGCCCTTTTCCATCAGTGGAGCAAACTCTATTAGCTCAGAACGCATGCTTTAACAAAAGGCAGGGAATAGAAATTGGCTTGTCCTTTCTAAAGAACATTATTAGATTTTAGAACATTTTATTGGCTGAGGATGCAGGGTGACACTGAGAAATTTGTGATGCATGTCTGTGAGTGCCTGAAAAGAAAACATCCACACAAAGTACCTACAGCGCCGCTCATACCCATTGTAACATCTCGTGCACTCGGACTGGTATCAGTAGATTTTCTACATCTGGAAACATGTAAACATGGTTTTGAGTATATCCTTATAGTGATGGATCATTACACATACTTTGCCCAGGTATATGCCACAAAAAACAAATCAGCAAAAACTGTTGTAGAGAATGACTTTAATGATTTTGCGCTTCGTTTTGGGTTTCCAGAGAGAATCCGTCATGATATGGGGAGAGAATTTGACAACAAGTTAATGTCACAGCTGGAGAAATGCTGCGGGGTGCAAGGCTCTCATACAACCTGCTACCACCCACATGGAAATGGGCAAGTGGAGCAATTCAATAGGACACTTTTGTCCATGCTCCGTACCTTGACTGACAGTGAAAAAGCTGACTGGAAGAACTCGCTGGCTAAGATGGTCCATGCCTATAACTGCACTCGCAGTGAGGCCATGGGATTCTCTCCATATTTTTTGCTTTTTGGGCGCTCCCTAAGACTGCACATAGACCTCCTTTTCAGTCTGAACCCAAGTGCAAAACGAGGATTACATGGAGTGTGTGGAAAACTGGCTATCAAGAATGCGACAAGCATATGAGATTGCTTCAAAAACAGCTGGCAAAGAAGCTTTAAGAGGAAAGAGAAATTATGACAAGAAAATCCAAAGTACTGACTTACACCCGAGAGGAAGAGTTTTAGTCCGAAACCTGTCTGAAACAGGTGGACCAGGTAAGCTTAGGTCATATTGGGAAGACAAAGTTCATATTGTGGTAAAAAGAAAGGTGAGTAGCAGTCCTGTCTATGAGGTTAGACCTGAGGGAGGTGGAAAGACCCGGGTGCTCCATAGGAATCTGTTACTGCCAAGTGACAGTTTGCCCCTGGATAAACCAGACCCTAATGGACAGAGGAGAGAATTCAGGCCACAAGCAGGCTATAACACTGCACAGACAAGACCCAGGAGAAAAAAAACACAAAGAGAGAGAGAGCCAGCAGAATACTCTGATAGTGAGAGTGCAGAAGAATGTGAATATGTCTGCAGATTCCCACTTGACACACCTCAGATTAAAAGAAATCTTGCCCTTAACCTGGATGCACAGCCTTATGTACCTGACAAAGAACGGCGAGATGTACAGCCAGGACAAGATGCAAGTAATGCAGGCTTATCAGACTTTGCAGAAATGGAGGCAGAGAGTACAAGTATTCTGGGGTTCACTGAGAATGAATATCCTGTGTATCAGGAGATGCTCCAAATGATGGAGAGCCCAACCCCCAGTCTGTCAACTATTACCCACAGAGAGAGCGACGTCGCCCAAAGGTCCTGACATATGAAGAATTGGGAAGAATTGTAAAAGTAGAAATTGACAACTTGAAATTAAATAACCGAGGGAAACTTTCAAAACTGAT